AAATATAACCAATAATACACGTGTTAATTACTTTGTTTCATGTTTCTAAGTTTCCATAAATAATTGGAAATAAAATAAACATAATTTTGATTTTTTTAAACTATTTTTTTCTTGTTTCTTAAGCTTCTAATATATAAATTGGTATATTAGTGATAAGCGTGAAAGTAGCGAATGAGGCTGTATCGATGATTGAAAAACAAAAGGACATCGGACTTGTCATAGCCAACATTGAATTGCCTAACATAGACTCACAATCATTCCTCACCACTTTGCTTCATAAAGATATTCCTCTCATACGTAAGTTAATTTTAACATATGCTTCTTCCTTTTACTCTTTCCACCATTTGCTTTTCTTTACATAATTAACTTGTTTATTGTTCTATGTTTTCTATGTGTATAAGTGATCACTCCGGAGATAATGACAAAGAAAACATCAGATTCTTTGACAAAAGCAACACTTTTTTGTTTGAAGAAGCCGATATTTGTGAATGATATCGAAAACCTTTGGCAACATGTGCTACCCAAGAAAAGCCAAGTGTTCGAGAAAATCAACATAGCTGAAAAACAAAAGATTGTTATGACAGAAGATACAAAGCAGATTGAAGCTTTCATGGAAAACCTTAAGAGGCCGAGAACAAGTCAAGCAACTTTGCTTGGAAGAAGAAAATACATGAAAGCATTCCCAACTTCTGAAATGTACCAAAAGAGAACAAGTATAGAAAATGCTGAATGGAAAACCAAACCGATGTGTCCCATTGAGATTGAGAATAAGGGGAGAGAAGGGGAGAAAGTGGAGATTAATATTGGAAGTCGCTGTGGCTTATGGACTAATTTTGAACGTCACATGAAATTTTTAGCTGCTCTGTCCATTTTGGGTGAAAAAAGTAAGATTTATACTTCATTTTGAACGATTTACATTCTTTTTTTCTATCATCTTCTTAAACTCATTTTGCAGGTTCTCGTCCCAAATCCATATTGAGGATTATGAATGACCCAAGCTTGAATCATCGTCATGTTGCTAGCCACCTTCAGGTTCAAATATATTTTTCTTCAACATATATATTATTTTTAATGACCTTATTGATTATAATATATTTTCATTCTATAATCTTTTCAGAATTACAAAGCTCAAATTGAGCGAATCAATGAAACATTGCCTAGGAATGAGTGGATTTCGACAGAGAAAACATTCAAATATCCTTCAAACTACGAATATCCTTTCAAAGCATCCAACTTAACGAAGAATCTCATTGAAAGTAACTCTTTGTGGTATTCCCTGAAAAAGAAAAAGTCATCCCAATCAGCCATCGCCCAATGCAAGTGTTATTTTACTTCATATATTTCACAA